TAAAAATAAAGAGGATTGGGCTTTCTTTTCCTCATGGGCTGGACAAGCCGATATAACATCATATACATGCCTGGGATGGCAACATTGCTCGATGGCCCTAGTTGTACCCCTCACTTTCAGGGTTTTTAGGAGACGAAACGGGGTGGAAGGAGATTAAAATATCCCATCTCGTTAACTTATTATTTTCTAATATTCATATTTTATTTTTTAATAAAATTTAAATTAAAAAACGTGTAGTAAATAAAAATAAGAATCGGGACGGGGACTGACTTCATGGATAAACTTGTTCGTTAAGATTGCAATAATAAGATGAGTATGGGTATATTTAAGCAATCTTGATATAAAGTAACCAAGTCAGTCATGTAACTTTTGACATGTAGATGACATTAAAGTAGATAGTATACTCTTTTAGAATTAAAATTAGCTTTTAACTAAACCACCCAAAAGAGATTACAGCTAATTAATTAAGTTATGACTAAATTTCTTAATTAAAAACACCTAGTTTAAATAGCGTATTAGTGCTTTTTTTAATCGTGACGAGAAAATGTAAAGATTACAATTCTTGAAATCGGATAATAAGGTTGTGGTTGGTTTGTCGTTTTCGAAAACGCATTTTCGAAAACGAGTTAAAATTTATAACTGAAAACGCAAAATGACTTTTTAGCGTTTTCAATTATAAATGTCGAAAACGCTCAAAACTCAGATAACAGGCCGTTTTCGGGGGAAACTAAAAATCGTTTTAAAAATGAAAATGGAAACTAATTGCACCCTAAACTTCTGATAAAGCCAAGTTTTCAATTTATAAACTATGTAACAAGGTGCTCGAGCTCGACTAGCCTTCAACAATAATCTCGAAGGATCAAAAGATGAAAACTATTTATTTGACTGTTAAAATGTCTATTTTTGTTGAAAAGACGGAAGGACACGTACGGATTACCTGTGCAATGTCGACAGATAGAGATATCCCATTCCAACTGAAGATTGCTATCAAACCCATTGAGTTCATATTGATCAAGCGAAGCAACCGGAATTGGCAGATTAACTACTGCACTGCACCCGTTTGATTTCATCTCTTCAGCTCGCAATTTCGATGCAGTAGCATACATAGACACCGTCGAGTTACTCAGGCACCTAATTGGACTAAAAGCTACGGCACCGGCTTGGTGTTCCACCGGACACCTCAAAAAGGTGTAGTTTTGATAAAGCACAGCCATGAAAGGAGAATCAGATGACCAACTAAAGTTCATAAGCCTCCTTGGAAGGCATTTTCCGGGATCCTCAAGTACTATTTTCTGCTCAAAGTAGTCGATATCGCGCACATAAAACTCTCCAGAAGAAGGTTTCAGTTTTAGAACTGCTAGTCCTTCACTAGTGCATCTAAGATTGAATTCTTGATAGCCATTAATGGTGTGAGGTTTTTGGCCTTCTTCAAGTAATTTAAAAGGATATTGTATATAGAAGCTATTATTGCCACAAGTGGGATTTGGAGAAGAATTCTTTGAATAGACAACAGAAAAATGAAGAAAGATGAAGAACAAAATTTGGAGACAAGCCATTTTTTTCTGGCATTCACTCAGAGTAGGGTCTTTGGAGAAAAATAATATAACTTAGAGAAGAATCTCTCCCCTAAGGTCTATATATTATTCAATCGATCATGCACTAAAACTTTAATAAGAAAAGAAACGCGTAGAAACTCTATACGTCACCAAACTTTTAAAATATGTCAATTTAATCATGAATTTTGATCGACAAATATACAAAGTTGTTTCAGTTAAGTTATTCTTTACGCTTCTCTTAGTAAAATTTATGTTTTTGTTTAGTAGTCTGATGGCGTTGCTCGTGTGACTAACAGTTTTGATGAGATGACTTTAGTAAGATTATAAACATTACATTCACCCGCAATTTTTGCTTCATGGCCACAATTTAAAGGTTTTAAACTCTTTCGTTTTAACCTGTCAATTTATTCATGACTCAATGTAGAGTTCAACGTGATTCTGAATAGTAAAAATAATTTGTTATACTACACAAAATTAATAATATTCGAGATTATAGCCAACACCTGCAGTCAGAATGAAGAAGAACTAATCATTGATACAAACATTCTAACTTGGAAAGAACCGTGACGCCGGGTAGGATAGTGATTATCCTATTGGCTTGTTGTAGCAAATGATTCGCAAGAAAAGAACTACAGAAAACGCCCAAAAAACCAGAGAAAATACTCTGAGTTCAACTCAATATCATTAATAATGTAGAATGTTCAAAACTAACCTACAAGCCGGGTTAAATAGCTGCAAAATACGAAATTATGGGAAAATTACCAAAAATTGCAAAATCCCAAAATTATACCAAAATAAAATATTAAGTAAAAGAAGTAAGTTGCCAAAAATTTGGCTCAATTCGAGTTTTCTAACATATGGAAAAAAGGAAACGAAATATTACCATTAATAGTAAAAAAAAAACTTAAAATTGAATTTTGGAAAGGAAAACAGTGGATTTTGGGCTCGAAATTGACGTCCACCGAGCATAACTTGTTGGCCACGACGTGCGCGCCGGAGAGAGCTTTCCTTAATTGGGATCATAATAGCGATTTCGATAATCGTAGCCAAAATTATGGCCAAATTACCAAAGACGCGTCAAATTCCCCCAATTAAGGAAATAATGGTGATTCACTTTCCATCTTTGCGCCGATCCACCATCTCATGGTATCTCAGCGTCATCATCATGCTATCTGACTAATCAGCATCACTCGACTCGAATCCTCCTGCATCAAACTGTGTATCAACAAGTCAGCGCTTGTTTGGTCCTGATTTTGATAAAAATATGGTACTTTGAAATGGGGGAAATTGAAATAAAAATTGCATGCCACAATTTAGACCATTTAAGGAGCCTGACAAGCCATCATTCATTATCAAATGTTACATATCAGAAAGTGAAGATCTACAAACCGGACAAGTGCTGTTCTTTTTTAACCACAAAACTACGCAGTCATTGTGAAAGAAATGCCCACATTTGGCTATGCTCCTTACTTCCTCTTTGGGATTGTATGCTGCCAGGCATATTGCACAAGAGCTATTCTCTGGTCCTGCAATGCTTTGTTTTCCCCTACAACTACCAATTCTGTATAGGACTTTATTTTGGCGTCATCAAGGCCTGTCACGGCAATATAGTTAGCACGGTGGATTGCGGCAAAGCAGCAGCAGTGGCAGAGTTGGGATCAGTACTTGCATTGACCTCTTTTCTTCGTATTGTGATCTCGATCAACGCACGTAACTTAATAACAAGAGTAGCACCAGTAGAAAAAATGATGAAATTAAGAATGGCGATCTCAGAAAATTATTCAAACCCGACTCTCCTGTAAATTCAATAAGGTTAGAGAACATTAGAAGAAATTAATTAGAATTTTAATGGGTGATTTCCTCAATTATCTTAGCACTCATGAGTTGTTTGGTGAAGTGGACTATATAGTAACTCACGATATTAATAAATAGAAAGAAACTAAAATTTTGCCGGTTACATTCTCTACTACACCGTACCGTTGGCATACTAAACAAACCCTATATGTCTAGGATGACGATTATATAAACCATATATAATCAAGAATGATTTCTACCTTTTTCTTGAGAAGGAGGCTGTGGATCACAATATTTACAATCAGTAACATTCCAATACAAATAAAGATTATCATTGATTCCTTGATAGTCGAACTGACCCATAAACATAACTAGGAAAAGGGAACTGCCAATGATCTCGCAACCAAAATATTCAAATTCATATGATGGTTCTTGGGAGCTAGCAACTGTGGCATTCGTAGAGAGGCATAGAATCCCACTGGTTCTGAATTAGCAGGACAGGAATAAAATGTGTAGTTTTCATAATATGTGGCGGTGTAAGGCGAAGATTTAAGGTTTATAGAGTTATTCAGAAGCCTTCCTGGGAGGCAATTACGGGATCATGGAGGGTTATTTCGTTATCGTCATAGTTGATATCATTTACGTAAACATCACCAGAAAAAGGAAGATTTAGAATTGGTATTCGCTGATTACTGCATGTCAGGTTGATATAGGTACAGTTATTTCCTGGTTCTTGGTCTTGTAATCTGAAAGGGTACTTTATTTGGATGTTGCCACAGAGAGACGATGAACAGACATTTAGGGAATGGACAATCGGAAAGATTAAGAAGATAAAGAGAAGAATTCGAGAATTCCCATATTTTTCAAGAAAATTGAGTGTATAAAGGGAATATGAACTAAAGTCTCAAGTCTCATGTTTCTATCTATGCTTTTGTTGATCTTTTGTTGTCTCTGGACATGTTATATATATTTGATAAAGTTTTTGTGTCAGGTTTTCTAAGGTCGATCAAGATGATTAGTATTTTAACAAAGAAAAAGAACTTAAGCAG